GTTGCGCATGATTTTCCCTTTCTCATCTGTCTTATTTCGAAAGATCCACTTGGTACCAATTACATTTGAGTCTTTGGGACGTGGAACAAGATACCACACATCGTTTTTTTTGAATTGGTTTAACTCATCTTGCATAGCTAATATCCAGTCATTATCTGCAAGAGCATCTGTCACACGTTTAGGTTCAACCAAGGATACATAACATAAATTGGTTACCTCATCACAAACTTGTTGTCGAGTTCTCAATTTGTCATTAACATTCCCAATAATATCAGAGGGTGAGTGATCTTTCTGAACTTGTTTAGCACCAGGTCTACGTATCACAGGATTGAAAGGCTGGTTACAATCCTCGAAATCAGTTTCAGTAACATCAGCAGATTCATGAGTTTCCAGATCTATATCTTCATGACTTGTTCCAACCTGCAATATAGAGGCGTCATTTACAACCACATTAGCTGATTCCATTATTGTTTTAGTACGATTATTAAACTCCTATATGCTCGAATATTCATAGAGTAACCAAGAAAAATTCCAACATCACTTCTTACATCAAATTTTCCAAGATACTCCCTGTCTTTGTAGATGTAGCATTTGCTACCAAAAGTCCTTAAGTGCTTGACATTTGGTTTCTTCCCTTTCCAAATTTCATATGGAGTACTCTTTGTATGTGGCCTGAAAAACACACGGTTAGATGTATAGCATGCAGTACTGATGGCTTCAGCCCTAAAATGATCTGCCAATTTGGCACTTTTTAACAAGACACGAGCCATGTAGAGAAGGACTCTATTTTTCCTTTCAGCTACCCCATTTTGTTGGGGAGTGATTGGAGCAGAAAATTCATGTTTTATTCCTTTTTCAGAACAAAAATCAGAGAAAGCTTGATTTTCAAATTCCAGACAAGACACAAGCCATGTCAAGGACTCTATTTTTCCTTTCAGCTACCCCATTTTGTTGGGGAGTGATTGGAGCAGAAAATTCATGTTTTATTCCTTTTTCAGAACAAAAATCAGAGAAAGCTTGATTTTCAAATTCCATTCCATGATCTGTCCTAAGTCTTATGATGCAAGAATTAGTCTCATGTTTTTCATTCATGATCAGTTTGTACAAGACATGAAAGGAATTAAAGGCTTCTGTCTTATCATGCAAAAATATGACCCAAGTAAAACGTGAGAAATCATCCACTAAGACAAGAATGTATTTCTTTCCTCCCAAGCTAGCAACTTGAATTCGACCAACTAAATCCATATGCATCAGTTCCAAAGTTTTAGAAGTAGAGATTGAGTTTGTAGCTTTGTGAGGGTTTTTGGTTTGCTTCCCCAGTTGGCACCCTTCACAAACACACTCACGTCTACCTAAAAGATTAGGCAATCCTCTTACAGATTCACATTTGGACAATTTGATTAAGTCTTGATAGTTCAAATGTCCCAAACATTGATGTCATAAATCAAGATGATCCTCACTTGTGCTAAAACACACTTGAGAAACTTCATTAGTGAAAAAACAATAGCAATTGTCAGGTGATCTTTTTCCAATCATCACATTTGATCCATCTTTATTATTGACAATGCATTGGGTTTTAGTAAAATTTACCTCACCTATTTCATCACAAAGTTGACTTACACTGATGAGATTTGCTTGAAGATCTTCAACTAGCAAGACGTTGTTTAGACTTGGTGTACCACTTGCCATAATTTTTCCTTTTCCTAAAATCTTGGATTTTCTTCCATCTCCAAAAGTGACCATTCAACTCACACATTCTGTAGAGATTTCAGAAAAGCATGATTTGTCACCGATCATGTGTCTCGAACACCCACTGTCAAAATACCAAGATTTAGATTTAGAGTCAGAAAGCGCAGTAAGAGCAACAAAACATTTCACATCTAAGATTCAGGAGCATTAGTTTGATGTGTATCACTTGAAAGAGCCAGCAAGCAATTTTGTTTGTCCTTTCTCCTCCACACTAGAGTTGAATTTGGTAAAGATAAGGAATGAGAGAGTTTTGACAACCTACTTACCTCTTTTACAAGATATGCAATCTTGTGTTGAATTCTTACCTGTCCCTCCTTGGTGGATTTTTCACTTACTGAGATTTGTTGGAGCAGTTTGCATTTTGGTCGGATGTGTCCAAGAGCTCCACAATAGTGACACGTGGGTATGAATCTCCGAGTTGTTTGAGAAGTTGGAATACCAGTAGAAAGTGATGGTTTGACAAACTTCATGACGGATACAGCGGAAGACTTGTTGATTGAATCAAAACCTAAGCCACGTTTGTCTCCATCTCTTCGACCAATGCTAATCATTCTGTCAATTTTTTCTGCACCAATTGTCAAAGCAATAATCCTTTCCTTTGAACTTTTAAGGTCAATTTCAAGGGCTTGATTGTCAGAGGTGAAAGAATCAATTAATTTATTTTGATTAATGCATTTTTTCTATAATATTTCCAATTTTTCGTACATACCTTCACCCATTGTTTCTGGTTCAGCAACAGAGGATTGCAATGTCCTGGCAGTCCTGTTGTTTTCAATTCATAGCACTTGACTCTCTCTTTAGTGGTTTTCTTCTCAGTAAACCTGCAAGATTTAAAATTACCATCAGTATAATCACCATGCTTAATTTTTGAATTTATACCTGAGTGATTTCTTGAGTCGTGACTTCTGGAATTTTGATATTTGAAAAACTTCTTGAATTGTCGTGACAGATAAGCAAATTCCTCCCCATTGAATTCTTCAGATTGGTGTTCACCATCTTCTTTATCAACTACTTTAAGAGCAACTCTTTTATTCTTTTTAGTAGCTAAATGCTTCATCTCGTAGGTTTGAAGCGACCCTATGAGTTCACGAACTTTCAGAGTGTTCAGGTCACGAATCTCTTCAATGGCTATGATCTTTGGTGAAAAACGTTGAGGCAAGGACCTTAAAATCTTTTTCACCACCCTATCTTCTGGAATGTTTTCACCTAAATTTGAACATGCATTCACAATAACACAAAGTGTAGCATAAAATTCAGAAAAGGATTCATTCTCATCCATCATGATTGTCTCAAAATGTAAAGTGTGCATTTGAAGCTTGGCTCCCATGACAGTATCTGTTCCTTCATGAGTGACCTGCAAAATATCCCAAGCTTCCTTAGAAGTATCACAAATAGAAATGTATTCAAATTGATCGAAAGAAACAGCAGTAAATATAGCATTTAACCCCTTTTGATTATTAGTACTGTGTGTGGCTTCTGCAGTGGTCCACTCCTCTCTAGTTTTGAGAATTGTGGTTTCTTCATCTCCTTTTCCGATCTTCTTTATGGGTTCAGAAAATTCATGAACTACTATATACCATACACGTTCATCAAAGGACCAAAGAAACGACTTCATCTTAGCCTTCCAAGCACCGTAATTGTGGCCATCGAAGTATGGGGGATGTGCAACAGAACCCGCGGCATGATCCATCCTAAGGTATGTTAGATCTTGCTGAGTATGTCCAACAGCCTACTCTGATGCCAATTGAAAATACCTGTAGGATGACTAAAAATGCCTAGAGGGGGGTGAATAGGCTAATTCAAGTTTATTAGCAATAAATAACAATAGACTTTCGAAGCAGGATTGATATGGGTTATCAATCCTGAGATGTGCAAAGCTGAAAGTAAAAGAACATGCAGATATTTATTTTACGTGGTAAAACCCCACCTCTGGGGAAAATCCACGGGACTCCTTAGTCCAGAACAAATCCACTATAGAATTGAAATTACAAGCGGTACTCACACACTTATTCTAGACTCAATCTAGATAAAGTTTACCGACTTCTGTGTAATTCAACATCTGTCACGAGATGATCTTCAACACTCCTTACGTTGAACGCAATACTGGTCGCGATTGCTTCAAGCTCACCGAAGGATAAACGCCACAACGATTTTGGTGCCCTTAACCATATAAGTCACCGACATGCATATGTATGCAATTATGAATGATGAAAGGATTCAATAAATCACCAAGCAACAAAAGAACACTTGATGATTTACTAAAGAAAATAAACACAACAGCTTTTGCACAAACAGATCCAATATGCTCTAAAGATTAAAACGTCAAAAGCCATTGAATAAAGAGAAACAACCGTGCTTATATTCAAAACAGGTTTCTCTCCCTAGAGAGAAACCCATGTGTTCACAAGTGCTATGCAACTACAACTCTAAAACTTATTCAAACTAGAACACCTAAACCTGATGCACAAGGGTCTCTTCATGAGACGTCCAGCAGGACAAGCCAACTACCCCATTATGAATATGAAACCTGATTCAACAAGGACTCATCATGACAACACCAAACAGCCACTATTATTAAGAAATAATTTTCTCCTAAATCAAGGTAACTAGGAGATAAGCAAGGTAACTTAAATCACAATGGCATGAAAAATAGTTGTAATTATAAACCCTATTTTGAATGCATGATTATGTCATGATTTATCTGTTTGTCAAGTTCCTCATATGGTCAAGTCATGCCTCGGAAGTATGTGGTTGAGCGAGTTGTGCCAAAACATCCAGTGACAATTCCTCTCAAACTAATTTTCAACCTATGCTAAAGTCTAGGAAATGCCAATACAAATTTTCGTACTAACACATTGCATGAAACTTCACTTTTTGCACTTTTAAATTCACTTGTTGAGATTAGTAAATAGATCTATATTCATCACTATTGATTTCAAAACCATTACAATGAAAATAATTCTCTTCCGAATGTTGAAAGAGATCCCAACTTCAACCCCTCATACCATGGATAAGAAGAACCAAAAAAAAAATATGACATCAGAAGGATGACAAATAATGGCAACAATGGAAAATTAACCACACTAATTCAATATCTTGAATTTGAGCCTTATTCCAGCATTTTATTTATGAACTAAGTCAAACATTCTTCTTTATAATTACCCCTAACAAATAGAAGGAATTGACAGGGATGCTTACATTTAGACTTTCTATAGTAAGGATGTCCTTATAGTGTAGCATTGGATGGTTATATGAAGGTGTTTGATTATGCCAAAATGAAAGTTACTCATTCCATGAGGTTCCCTGCTCCCCTCATGTCATTAGCGTTTTCGCCGGATTGTTTGACCAGGGTTATTGGGACTTCGAATGGGACAATATACGCTGGGAGGAGGAAAAACAAGGAAGATTTTGAGGGTGGCTCTGATGAGGAGCTAGAGAGGCCGCTTTCCAAGTATGAGAGGAGGCAAAAGAAGCTGAAGGCGTTAAGCTCCGGGGATGCTGGGGGATTGGGACCTGTGGAGGAACCACAGGTTCGGGTTTTGAAGCCTACTAATTTTCGGTATTTCCACAGAGGGCAAGGAGAGAAGCCATCCGAGGGGGAGTATTTGGTAATGAGACCAAGGAAAGTGAAATTAGGTGAGCATGACAAACTGTTGAAGAAATTTAGGCACAAGGAAGCTCTAGTGTCTGTGTTGGGTAGTAAGAATCCGGAGAATGCTGTGGCTGTGATGGAGGAATTGGTAGCAAGGAAGAAATTGCTGAAATGTGTTTCGAATTTGGATTCAGAGGAGCTCGGATTGTTGCTGATGTTTTTGCAGAAGCACTCGACCGTCCCTAGTTACTCAGGGTTGTTGATGGGGTTGACAAAGAAGGTTCTAGAGATGAGGGCAGAAGACATTAGAGCTTCTGATGATTTGAAGGGTCATATTAGAAACCTTAAAAGGTCTGTTGAGGAGGAAATACGAATACAACAATCATTGCAAGAGATACAGGGTATAATTTCTCCTTTGTTGAGGATCACGGGAAGAAGATGAAACTTGATTGCTTTTTTTCAATTTTCATGAGTCAAATTATCTTATGTTTTTTACTTATTACCTGCCTGAGGTTTCTTCTTATCATGGCAAGACAGTATCTGCAATTTTGTTTCTTTGGAATCTACTCTGAATGTTGTTTCTTTTATGGTGTTTAAAGTAATCTCAGTTTTAATGACAAGAAATGTTGACTCATGTTAAGTATACTATTCACATCTCATACTTTGTCTTAAATTTGCTTAGTGAGTTGTTTATCCTTGGGGATATAATCCGCAGTTCATCAGAAGGTTAGGTCAAGTTACGGAACATGACATGAAATGCTGTATTTATATCCTTCGGGATATAATCCGCAGGGATGCGTACATATAACCGTGTTCGTATCTCATCTTGTAGTAGCTACAATGTGATGAGTTATGCATGCTTGTCAATTTTATTGCTTTGATGTTTGTAACCTACTACTACAGGTGACAAAAATTCCTAAGACATTTTCGACCTTGACAAGTTACATGAAAACTTTCATTCCTTCGCTTGTGAATGAAAAGCTTAATTCAATTGGTGAACATGTGGAGTTTTGCATGGTAAATTTGTACACTCACTTACCAACTTCTTGCATTTCACTAAAGGTTGTGACGGACATGATTGGAGCTTTGGATTTGCTCAATTCTCTTAAATCTTTACTGCGTGAGGTTGGTTTTGCTAATGAAAGGTCACAATTAGTTCTAAAAGATTGTCTTTGTAAACTGAGGTCACTTCATAAATTTTGTGTTCCTAATTTGAAAATTTTGGAGAAAATAAGGAAATTCTGCTTGGCAAATGCTTCCTTAATATTTTGCACCGTGTCAAGCTCTGCTAAATTGCAGACGGAGAAAAAGGCACCCCTGGATTTGTTAGTGATTGATGAAGCTGCTCAGCTTAAAGAATGTGAATCAGCAATTCCTTTTCAACTACCTGGTCTTCGCCATGCTGTTCTCATAGGAGATGAGAGGCAACTCCCTGCTATGGTTAAAAGCAAGGTTTCATTTTGTCCTTTGTGCTGTATAGTTTAAAAAGTTTGTAAAGCTTTTATGTTTTATGTGAATTTTGAACAATGCACTTTCAGATCACCGAGAAGGCTGGTTTTGGAAGAAGTTTGTTCGAAAGACTTCTACTGTTGGGACATGAAAGGCACCTTCTCAATGTCCAGTATAGAATGCATCCATCAATCAGCTTATTCCCAAAAAGGGAGTTTTACAACAACCGGATATTAGACAGTCCAAATGTCAAGCAAGGAAGCTATGAGAAGTGCTTTCTTTCAGGAAAAATGTACGGATGCTACTCCTTTATAGATGTAGCCAATGGACAAGAAGAATTTGATTGCGGGCATAGTCAGAAAAATATGGTTGAGGTTGCTGTGGTCTGTGAGATTGTTGCAAGCCTTTACAGAGGTAATTTTTGCTGTAAGCTACTGTAGGTGTTCTTAACTGCTTCATTTATGATTGTGATGCTTGGAAGGTTTTTCTGTAACTTTTTTTATGCACTGCAGAATTTATTCGAACAAAAAAGAAGGTTAGTGTTGGGGTAATATCACCTTACTTAGCTCAAGTTAATGCAATTCAAGAGAGAGTCAGGGAATACAGTGAAGTTTCTGACACTGATGGATTCTCTGTAAGTGTGCAATCTGTTGATGGATTCCAAGGTGGTGAAGATGATGTGATAATTATCTCCACAGTCAGATGTAACGAGAAAGGATATGTCGGATTCATTTCCAATCTTCAAAGAGCAAACGTGATGCTAACACGTGCAAGGTGCTTCTGTCACATTGCGGTTGTACATGTAGTAGCTTATACTGTCTGAAATTTTTGGTGCTTCTGAGGAAGTTGATTTGTTTCTTTGTGTCTGTAGGCACTGTCTTTGGATTTTGGGGAATGAAGCAACTTTGATTAGAAGTAACTCTATTTGGAAGAAGCTAATTCTTGACGCAAAGAAACGCAAATGCTTTTATAATGCTGCTGAGGAAAAGAACTTGGCTCAGGCCATTGCAGTTGCCCTCATGGAGCTTGGCCAACTTCATATTCCACTTAATTCTGATTCTTTGCTGTTCAAAAATGCCAAATGGAAGGTGCACTGCTACGTTTCCTTTTCGTTCGAATTATATTGGACTGCTGTTCTGCATGCCTCCAATATATAGTGTTCTGTTGCACCTAACATTATCAATCAAAGCTTATAGAATGCACAAATTTCCTTTGAATGGGGCAGCATGCCTCTTTAAAGGCGAATTCGTTCTTTTAGTGGCTTGGTGCTTAGGATATTTGAGTTCAGATTTTATGTTTTGTAGCATTAAATCAATCTTCTTCCTGTATAGGTTTGCTTCACCAATGAATTTCAGAATTCCATACAAAAGATTAAAGACACTGAGATCCGTCGGGAAGTGGTTTCCTTATTAACAAAGCTCTCCAATGGTTGGCGCCAATCTCGCAAGAATAAAAGAACTACAGCCCATGGGACTTGTGCTCAAGTTTTAGAGAAGTACAAAGTTAAAGGGCTGCTGAATCTCATTTGGTCTGTAGATGTTCTCCAGGAGAATTCAGATTATGTCCAGGTTTTGAAGATTTGGGATGTTCTTCCGGTTTCTGATACTCCCGAACTTGATAAGCGGCTTGAGATCATGTTTCATAGCTATACAACCGCTGAGATGAACCTTTGCCTGCTCAGATGTGTTGATGGGTATGTCTATAGGGATTTGACAAACGTTCAAGTTTAATAGAACAGTACATTTGTGCTAGCATGGCTTAAATCATCCATTGTTTCTCAATTGCGACAGAGACGCAGTTGTCCCGGTTAGAATGCCGGTGGATTCGAGCAGCTCCCATGAGGCTGAGGCTGATCCTGTGGAGGTTCTTTCAAAACCATTATCTTCACTCAGTCTAAAAGATGAGCCCCAAACATCAAGCAGTGAGCCACAAAGTCATAGGTGATTTTTTTTTTACTTTGTTCATCTTCTTCCATATATCTGACTGACTAAACCACATGTATTTTTAGAGCTTTTTCTCTTTCTAAATACAAGATATGTGATGTTATAATTTAAGTTCTAATTCCTTCATATTAAAAACTTTCAGAAAGACTAAAAATAATATGCCCAGAAGGCAGAGAAAGAAGGCCACCAAGTTCTAGAGGTAATTTAATTAAGCTTTGCTTAGTTGATGACTGATGAAATAACTATTTATAATTTCCTATCTTCTTCCTACTTACCAAATGAGGTAAATTTTAAAATTAAACATTGCAAATGTTTCTCTCCTTTAAATTCATCTTTTTCGTAAGAGTGGTGCAATGTGTATCCCAATTACTGAACACATTGTTAACCACATTTCTAATGCAAATGGGCCCCACATACATTGATAAGGCCCACCCTATTAGAGTAGTCAACAAAGTCAATAAATGTAGTACAAATAAAATTAATGTTTTCGTAAATAAACTTTGGTATATTTGAACACACCTTAACTTCTTAAAATGGTGTGCAGGAGAGCACCATCAATAATATACGTCGATCTTGAAGGTTGCAGCCATTATTACATTATACGTCCTGAAGGTGGAGGCCAATACCAGATGATGTAGGGGGAAAAAAGGAGAAATATATGTTGATCTTTGATTACTTGGTTTAGGGGAGGTCCTAGGCACAAACAGGCAAGGTGGTCGCCTAGGGCCCTAAAATTGGGAGGGCGCCCAATTTGTATAAATCCCTATATTACATACATTTAAAAAATATATATATAACATAAATATTATGTTATATTCAAACTAATTATTGTAAAATAAAAAATAAAAAAAACTTATTATTGTAAAATAAAAAATAAAAAAAAACTTACTGAATCATTCAATTCGAAATTAAAAATAGAAAACTCAATAAAGGCCCACTTATAGCATAAATCAATTAATCTAGTTGAATCAATTAGGCAATCAAATACATATATTTATCATCAACGCCAAAACCCTACAACATAGCATACAATAAAGATTTAGACTACCCACCGAAAAAGCAAGAAGTTGAAAATTGAATATAAACAAGAGGTTTCGATAGCATACAAGTTGAATGATACAATATAGCCAGTCAATCTTATATTTTTGAAAATTCAAATATGTGAGTATTATTGTTGTTGTAAATGTGATGCTATTACGTACTTTCATTGTTGTTCAGCATTATTTATATTTTGTATTGATTTTTTTTTTCAGGGAAGAATATAAAGCATTAGTTGACCATTGAATTTCGATAAACTATATCATAAGAAAAATTGAATGGCTTGGCTATGTTGTCCATTGAAAAGGACATGGTAGAAAGTTTGAATATGTAAAGTTTAATTGATACTTTTGCATAAAAAAAAAATACAAGACGAGTGATATTTAAGTGAGATATATTTTATAAAGTTGTTGTGTAAATTACATATGTTTGTTTCTTTTCTATTACAATTGTGAATTTGAGTTCACATAATATACATATAAAAAAGAAGACCCCATTTAGGTTGTTCGCTTAGGACCTCCAAATCATAAAATCCCCATTGACTTGATTTAAATTCAATCGAACAATTACTTTGGAATATATGAACCAATTATATTACTTGATTGATAGCATTCTTCCCCATTGGTCCTCATCCCCTTTGTGGGAGCAAATATTTTCGTCTCCAGTCAGAGCACGCCACGTGGAAAAGAAGATTATCCCTTAAATTAATTAATTAAACCATTTATTGGGATAATTAATTAATCTGGATAATATCTTAATTATATGGTATTATCTCATAATTAATAAAGATAATATCATTAATTGGGATATTATCATAATAAAGGGATATTATCTTATAATTAATGAGATAATATCAATAATTCGGGTATTATCTTATCAAAGGGATAATATCCTATAATTAGGATATTATCTTATAATTAACAAGATAATTCAGATATTATCAAGCCCGACTCGATCTCTACGAAACCCTAGCCCCGAGGCTCCTATAAATAGATGACTTCAGTCATCATTCAAGGTACATCTAAACCTACTCCTGATACCCGAGAAAATACCCGAAGCTCTCTTCTCTCTCCCTCTCCACTCTCCACTCTCCATATTTTCTCCACACGGCTCCGGCCACCACACACAGCTCCGGCCGCCCGGTTCACACCATACATACAAACTCCGTACCCTTTGCTTAGCTATTGTTTTCCTACAAACAATCGAACTAACTTAGGCATCAGAGGGCCTTTGGCCAACACCCCCCCGGGTGTGGTCTATTTACTCCAATCTTTTTTACAGGAATCGAGGAAGAGAGAGAAGGAAGATCGAAGGTTGAAGGATCTAGAAGCGAATATTCTCCCGCGAGATTATTTGCACAAACACCCTTGTTATAAGTTATATTTTTGTTGATAATATAAAATCTCACATGAGGAGAATTTTAAGCTTTGAACAGGACACTTCACTCGTTGCCAATTAATTTCGGGTTAAAAACTCTATCCTAATATTCACAAGTTTAATTCCCCTTTTACAAAAGTTTGATCTCCCTCCATACGGTATAGTAGTTCAGAACATTACCTTTGTGAAAAAAAATTATATATATTATAAAAATAAATAAATAAAACAAAAAAAAAACTTGGATATCATGTGTTTTTTTTTTTTTTTTTGGTGTTAGGATTTATGGTTGCAAAACAAACAAGAAATTATATATCATTCATATGTACTAAGCAAGGTACAAGAAATTAGATATCATAAGAAGAAACTACGATATTAAAAATACTAATTAGTAGCACAAATACACCATTGCATTTTAATTTTCCTAAGAGGAATGCTGGCTATCTTCTCTCTAACATTCTCTTTTGGAGCTTCTCCCTTCTCCTCATGACAAGTGTCAATTTCCCTTCACTTAAAACAATGTCATTAATGCATCACACAAGTTAGTTTTTCTTTTCCAAATCTTATTAAATGTATTGGATTTTATATTCCTTCACTTTATTCAAATTTTGTTACAACTTCCTTAGCACATTGTTAAAAATTAAATAAGAATAAACGTCAATTTTTTTATATATTTTAAAATAAAGTTTGTTTCATGATATTGTTATCATGAAATTGATATCATCTTTCTTTTGTGTTTAACAAAACATATGTTCTCTCTAGAAAAAAAAAAAATTCAAATTTTATTTCTTATTTCATTTTTTAACAAGGTGGTAAGAAAGTTGTAAAAAAAAAAAAACTAGCTTGTTATTAAAAAATAATAATAGATTTAATGAAGGTAAACTTGGAAAACAAAAAACTAGTTTGTGTGATCCATTAATGATATTGTTTTAAGTGCAAGGATTGTCATGTCATGAGGAGAAGGTCCAAAAGAGAAGGTTAGAGAGAAGGTTGCTAGCATTTCCCTTTTCGCAATTCCCTTTTTCACTCCCACTCTCACCCTATACCCTATCCTACCTAGACATACTCAGAAAAATCGAAGTCGCAATGCCAAGCACGTACACCCCAATCGTCATCCCATCCAACTCCTTCTTAGAACTCATCGCAGCCCCAACCCCAACAATCCCAGCCACTCCAATCGGAACACGCCACATCACTGCCTTGTTGGCGTTCTCCACCACAGCTCCAACAAAGAGCTCCACCGCCCGCTACTTGAACTCGGCTGGCCTAATCGTCTAGGCTCGGGTAGAGCGAGTCGGCGAAGATGGTACCCACTTGAGGATGAGAGGAAGTAGGTGGACGGTGCACAACGTTTTGTGGATGTGGTCGAAGGCTGAGGGGAGCTGGTTGAAGGAAACACGCATCTAATGCTTATGAAATGAACTTTGGCCACAACCAATACAACAAAAACATTCTAAATGGTGGATTCATTTTGTTTATACTAGTTGAGCTAAACCTTTTTCATTTTAAACTAAGTATATTAGCCTAATCTCTTTGAACATAAATAGAAAAGGGAAAAAGTGAATAGATCTTTATTCTTGATGACCTTTTCTTGATTTCTCAAGAATGAACACTTTTGTTGGAAATACTTTTTCTTTCTCTTGATTTTGACTCCTTTACCTTAAGGCTCCAAGATTGGAGTCCTTTACCTCACCACACCAAATGCTCTTAGAGATGAAGATAAGGCAATCAAGAAGTATGGATGCTAGTCTACTTCTTAATTGGACCAATTCTTGGTTTATGGTAGATGAGATACAAAGATGATCACTCATCAACCAAAGTAGGAAACCAATAACCCTAGCTAGGTTTTCTCCAACACTTAGCTTATATAGGACAACACAAAAGGCAATTGGGTGGGTATTTGGGACTCCATTTGGTCCACGGGTCATGTCATCTTATGCCACTTATCCCTTGAGCCCAATAGCCTTTTGGGCTATTTTGTCCTTTTCCTTTTAAATCATATTTAAAAGCCCAATCCAATATTTCTATATGTCAATATTAATTCCATAATTAATCTTTTAATTTTAATTTAACTATTAAATTATAATTATAGTCTTACTTAATTGACCCGGTCGAACTATTTGACTTTGGTCAATTGCTCCGGTCAACATATTGACTTTTCATCGTTGACTTTGACATTTGATTATCAACCATTGACTTGTGTCTCCTCATTTCATTTCTCCTCATTAGTACCTCTAATCACATTCTTTGGGTGTGCAGATCCGTAGGTTCCCTTTAGCAAGGAAGTGAGTTGACTCAACTCCTCAAAGATGATATACGAATTAAATTCCACAATTTAATTCTTCCTATTAATAAAGGTTAATTGAAACCTTTTAGGACATCCACAAACCATGGTTGTCGCCTAACAGCAAGTCACGGTTATTCGAGCTAAATGAGGTGTTGTGAAAGAACCTATTCAAATTGGAATGATCGTGCAATTGAATCCTTCTCTTATGTTAATACTCCTTATTTACATTATTAGATCATGGAATCCGATTGTCAATATCCTAATGTGAATCATTCCTTTTATATGATTATTCTGGTAAAATTTTAAGACTTCTTCTTTCAAGTCTTATCCACTACTCATCTTCTCCATATGAGTAAAGATTTCCATTGCAATTTATGAGTTCCAGCTTGACATGTGAGTAAAAACTTCCATGCTGTAACTCATGTGTTGGATCGCGTTCAATGTACTTGTTCTTCTACAAGCACCTACACACATATCGATGTGTCTCCACACTTAACGACTTGAGACCTTGCCATTCCCTACATATAGAGACGATACTGTGTGTACTGGTCTTTGCGGAATATTGTCGCCCAATCAATATTCATATGACTAGGAACATATTTAGGATTTAGGGATGATGAGAAGTCTTCATGTATGCAATCTCATTACATAGTTCTCATATCCACTCGTGTATTCCTTGGACTATGGTTGTTCTACATATTGAAAGAAAATATAAGATGATTTAATGTATAAAACAACCTTTCTTGCCCATTGATAACATAATATGTCTTTTATCAAAGATGTCCTTAACTCTAACTATTACATAATTAGTTGGCTTTAAGGGCATATTTCTAACAATCTCCCACTTGCACTTTAAAGCCAATTTGACATGT